TAGATCTCAGCGAACGCATAATTTTTTTTTAATTATAAAATATTTTAAGAGAAAAATTCTCGTGCAGTGCAAGCCACAGCTTTCCTTCCCCACTCTCACCACAAGGTAGGAAGTTTCTTAAACCTCCACAAGCAAAACAGGATCCATCCCCAAAGCAGTAAACCTTGCCATTTCTTCAGAAAAATCAGTAGCACAAAGGGGGAATGCTGTCACCATGACCATGCCCATCTCTGCGTTACTCAGAAAGGGCTGGGATTGTCTCTCTCTTCTGTATTTTACAGGTCACCTTCCTTAGTTGGGAATTGGGAGCCGCAGCACTGATGGTCTGAGTGAGGGACAGGTCTGGAAATTAGCACTACCCTGGGAGGATCAGTTGGTTCACATCTCCTGGCTCTCTGTTTCCAGGTGCTGGAGATTCAGACTACCACCTGTCCCCATTAAAATCACAGTTTTTGAGTTCTTCTTCCCCATCTTATGAGTTAAACACGTATTTTTTTCCCAGTAAATTAGAAGTGGGAATCTGATATAACAATATGCCAGTAAGATCTGGAGCCTTTGGCTTGCCCTTCCATTGTCTGTGCTTCAATCAGTCGGCTCACACCAAGATTATAAAAAACCTGACCCAGGAGTTTACAGTCTGAAGCCCAAATTGAACAGAGCAGTCAGCAGATTATGTATTCGACCGAACAATGAGGTCTTCAGTCCCTTTTTGAACCAGTTTTTCATTACAGGGGTTATGTTTGTATCATATTGCTGAGAATTACACAAAACCATTATTTTTGAAATGAGTACAGTAGACAACAATGTTGCCAATAATGCAAGTTGTCAGTAAAGTGTGTATATTTATAGCAGCATGAGAAGTATTTCAGAGAGCTCTAAGCATGTTCAATTCCACAGCCACATGCATGCAGCATTTCAGAAAATGTAAAGCTTAACTACTCCAGGTTTTCCTTTGGAAGGGAGAGCTAGAAGAGGATGTTCCCATACATTTTTTGCCTATGATATTTTACATAAAGCCCCTACTGAAAGGGGCTTTATAAATTACGTAAGTAGAAAAGATGTCCAAAAAAAGGATAAAATTACGGTGTTGGCATTTCTAACAAACTATCTTCCCTTCCTAGTCTATCCCATACTAAACAGTAAGCATAGAACTTTCTTCCTAATAAAGCTTTAGAGCTGCTACCATGACTTCTCACCCCTGCTACAGAAATACTATCCAGATGACCAAGGATTTTGTAATGCAGCAAGCTGCAACAAATATCCAGCTGAAACAGCAGTTTAGTGAACTCGGAGCAAAAACAAATTATTTTTATGGCATATAAAATTATGAAGAGCCTTTCCCAATATATACCATGACTAATAATCATCAGCCTGTTCAACAGTGACACTTTAACCACTCCCTCTGTGGTCACTTTTCATTTGCAACCATCAAGTCTGCTGAAAACAGGAGGAGAAATTGCAGTTTAAAAGCAAGATATTATCAGCTTTCCCAGACAGAAGCAGGTTGGGAGACAAGAGAAAGAGAAAGCTTCCTCTCATAGTTGAAGGAGTAAATGAGCAACTAATAAACATTCTAATTTAATAAGTGCACATATCCTGCTAACAAATTTTCTTTTGAATAACAGAACTGGATGGTTGATGTGTTTTGTTTTCAGTTTGTCTGGTTGTTTCCAAAGACTAAATCCCACAATTAAATTATAACAATAATGAAAAAAAATTGAGCAATGTCCACATAAAGTTTAAGCTGGGAAATCACAAGGCAGAAATGTTCTATTTTCAGCTCAAAAATAAAATCCTAACCTACTGATTTATGTTCCCTCCACAACATTTTTCACTCAGTTGCAATGCAAATAGTACTGGTCTGCATTGACAATTCTCTTGAAAAGCACATGAACCTTGAACAGCATTGCTGAAATCCTGCATTTCTGCTACAACATGCCTGGAGCTGGGACAGAGCTGATGTAACTGGCTTCAGACACGTATTCTCCACGTCAACAGAGCTCTTCTTTGCTGACCCGGGGGAGGATGCTAACATGTAGCATCCAGAAGGGTATGGCTTACTCTGGGTCCCTTGCATATCTTCATCAGCCCAATCCAATCCATCAAATCCTGTGACCTGAAGGTGAGACCTTTTCGTCCAAACTCCTTCACAGACGAGCTCATAGTGCACATACCCATGGTAACACATCCCCTTTCCTTCTGCCTGACCGCCCTCCTGCACCATGATCCATGGGACAGCTGCCTCTGCACTACGGGGTCTTGGAGAGAAAGCCAGGCTAGGGAGATGTCATCTAATTCCATATAATTCCACTGGGTAGCTCATACTTTGTTTTCTACCTGTTATTTGCCACAGGACCACGACCCATCAGAGTCTCCCACCATCCACAACACTGCCACTTTGGCTCATCACTGTCACCTAATCCCACCGAGCTGACACTTCCTCCTGGGTGTAAGAGGCTTTGCATTATCTTTTTACTAGAAAAGGTCCTGAGAGACCAAAATGACAAAAACTAGCCAGCCCTGAGGAGGTCTGGAAGAGCAGCACAGCACTGATCTGGATCAGCAGATATAGCACCCTCCAGCTGTGGAGTCTTCTCGGGCAGACTTCATCGGAATGGGAATCTTAATGTAAACAAATTACTCCTTCTGGGTTCTTCCAGCCCAGCAGGCCAGAACAGGTAAATATCCACTATCTCAGCATTCCAGCAACTATTGGAAATACCCACAAAGGCTTCAATCATGCTTAATAATTAAAAGTAAGGTATTGTGTTAATCAACAGGTGCTAAGGGAATATGACCTTCCCCGGGGGCAGTCTGGTATGGTAGCCAACTTTTTCCATGACACATACTAAAAAGTACAGAAACACAGTCAGCAAGATAATTTCCTTGGGTCAAGATTCAATATTTTAACAAATGAGTCACTGATACATGCTTCAGATATTCCTATGCTAAAACTAGAGTATAAGTCATATGTATGAAATCCACTCCTGCCCCATAAGCTGCCTGTGATAGCATTTTCCAAATACTGACCTAGAGAATGTCTGGTATGTTCAGACTGATGTAAGAAGTCTGGATTTTATATTCACGATCCCAGTTTATCAGCAGATGTCACACAAGTGGACTTGTCTCAGCGCTGATTTCAAGAACTAAGGAAAATGCAGCAACAGAAAAACTTTGCTGGCCCTTTAGCTGAAGAAGCCAAATTTCATCAGAAATATATGCTTCCATTGCTTTAGTAAAGGGAAAACATGGATTTGTCAGACTGCATCTGAGTATACAATAAAGAGTTCATGACTGAAAGTGTTAAATATTGAAGGGGAAATATTCATTAATACATACAGGGAAAAGTGTAGCAGAGAGCTGTTATAGGTGCTCTAATGACTAAAATAAGGGTCTTGGATTCAGGAAAGCTGGATATAAATGCAGGTTCTGACACAGACTGTCTTTATGACCTTGGGCTACCCACCAGATATTGCTGGCCTGAAGTTATCCAGCTATACAATGGAGATACGGTTAATTAAAGCACCCTACTCTTTTTTGGTTGGCTCTCCTGTATCGTTACATAGAGACATGGACAAAGGCAGAGATTTCTTTGGCCATGAGGGAAGTGAGATGATGAATGTGACTTGATCCAAGACACAAGCAAAGCACAGGTTTGGCAGGCCTGGGGGCTGAAGGAGAGGCTTCATCCACGCAGATGGCATGGAGTGGAGCTGGCAGGACAGGGATTGCTGTTGAGCTGTCAGGAGCATTAGCACTGTAGGGAGGACAGACCTGCCTGGGAGGAAGGTGCAGGTTTTACAAGGAAAAGCTATGACTGACAGCACTGCAGCTTGCACATTGGGAAGGCACAGAGGGCAACAAGAGAAGGGAGAGGGTGGTTTAAGAGACCTCACATCAAGGAGGTAATGCCAAACAGAGAAGCCCACAGATCTTTCAGCACACAGACTGAAAATGACGGTAGGGGACATCTAAATATACAGCCAGGTCCTCAGGCCTGGCCCACACTCAAAGGATTTGCCAGACTAGCCTTTTCCATCATGATTGCAAGAGAAACACCCATAGTCATGACAGATAAAGCCTTGTACTGGCACTGTTACATCAGCCAAGCAGCCTCTTCCTCTCTGCATCCCTTCCCGCAGGGAGCAGGAATCAGACCTACCACTCAAAGCACTCTCTTGTGGATATAAGCTGTGCTTCTGCTAGGAGGATTTGCCAAAACAGATATACTGGCAAAGCAGCTAAGGTTGTCAAACTCCCCTCCTTTGACTTAAATAAGAGCTACACCCGTTTGTACCAGAGAAACAGCTAGTTCTGAAACCAAAATAGCTCCTTAGTCAAGGGCATATTCCAAGGCCTGAATCATCTTTAGCGAAAGAGAGGGGCTCAGTGTCAGTGAGTTTGACAGCGGACATGGGAAATGCTAACTGACCTTTATGGAGAATGTCAGCACAGGGAATCAAGGCTTAATCCTCAAAAAGCCCTGAGGTATCACTCTCATCAGTGCCAGGAAATTTGTGCCCCTCTGAACAGGCAGGCACACTTACCAACAGAACATGCAGGTCCAGATGCTGTGTGTGCCTTGATTATTGCATAATATTATCAAATAGGATTTTTAAAAACCTTTAAAATGCCCTGCTCAAACAAATCAAGTTGCATTTTTCCAAGGTCATCAAAAGAACCAGTTCATTTCTTTGATGTAAATAATAGCTGAGTATGTTGAATCTGCTCTCTCACAGAATCACTTCATTCCTAAAGCGAGTAAAATGACAAGGTTTTGGACACAATGAATTTCCCTTTTGCCAATCTGCAATACCATCACTAGAGCATGAATTGAGTGACTTGAGCTGGGATATCTCAGGAAGTAACTTTAAAAAGTGCCGTGCTAACAGCTTTGCCTTGGAAGGATGAGAAGCCCTTGGCATACATAGATCTCCACATTTCCTATAAACCTACTTGATTCCTTGTAAAACATTTTTAATTCTCTTGGCAAAACCCCTAAGCCCCTATGGGGATGCCTTCACATCTTGCCTTTTTGAGCTCCATCTCCCTCTTTCCATTCCTTTTCTAGGTGAGAGGAAGCCAAGAATTCCCAAGTTGTCTGTGACATACTGCCTTCGTCACTGGACACCCTGCCACTGATGGGGACCAGCTCCTGCCTTTTGCTCACCACTACAAATGCCATTGCCCTGAGAATTACTGACATTGTCACTGAGGGGGCTATAGTTGTGTGAGTATAAATAAACACAGTGCTAGAAAAGACACTCAGGGATAAATAGCAAAGGTAATGCATAGTGTGAGACCAAAATAACTTCATACTGTTCACTGAAAGTACCTTCCACTGGCTGTCTTGTGCTGGCTGTTTCCAGCCAAGGTCCTTGCCTTTCCCCAAAAGGCAAAAAGCACTGTGACTTCAGAAGCCATGGGGCTCCTCTCTGTCCCTCCAAGATGGTGACACTGAGGAGCTGGGACGCACTTGCAAGTACACTGTGAGTAGCAGTGCTCCATATCCAACATCTGCCGACATTCTCAGAGCTGTGAAGGTCCCAGCCAAGATTACCAGCACCCATATGGACTCTTCTCTCTCTCCCTCCCGTGCGGCCACAGGGTCTCTTCAGCAGTGCCCCCTCACAGGGCCCCAGCTGGGGGTTTCAGCCATGCCCTGCACCCCCAGAGGAGATTTATGGACATCACAAGTGAACTAAAACATAGAAATGGCTGATCTGACTGAGAAGCAGAAGCACGACAAAAAGATTTGGGCTAAGCCAAGTGGCATATTTTACCTGAATGTATCTCACCGGTTTGGATGGGAAGGTCTGGGGGTACTTGGGACAGTGAGGGGAAAAAAGGATGCAACAGGTCCATAATACCCATGTTGTGTCGCAGGGGGTGGCTTGAGTGAGAGCCAGGGGTCAGTTCTGCAAACTGGACCAATTAAATACCCATTTGATACTAGACTGATGAGTACTGAAAGGGCTGCACTCCTGGCATGTGACTCCATTGATATTAATTCATCAAGGATGAGTTTGACTTGGATGATACCTCAGATGAGAACGTGAAACCACAGAGAAGTATTTTATCAATATACAATATATGGACAAGTTTCTGACCTTCCGTGTAACTGACAAAGATTCACATCTAGAACTCACTGAAAAGATAAACCAATGTTTTGGCATTAATAATGGTGTTTGCAAATGTCCTCTTAACACTTATGTTCTTTTGCTCTATGAGGTTGCTATTGCACTGATTCCTTTTTTCTTTGTTCTGTTTTAAATTAGATTATGGAGAAATCCAGAACTCAGAGCCAATTCATCTGTTTTGCTCTCCCGGGAACAGTGATGTTTATTTTGAAAGGAATCTTTCAGTGATGTTTTCCAATTTAAAAAAAAAAAAAACCACCCTGAAATAATTCTTATCTTGCAGGGCTTATTGTATTACATGTAAGACCACTTAAGCAGTAAATTACTCTTGATATTAAAGCTAGAATCCTGGATTTTTACATGACTTCCCTGCTTTGCTACAACCCTCTGCTCAGTACTGTACATCAGTTTTGCCTTCTTTGAACAGAATGTCCCCTCTTGTGTGGTATTCTAGTCACAACACTCAGGTGTTTCTGACTGTGGAAAGGAAGTATGAAACTAAAAAAATAATATAGTTCTATGATTTTATGTTAATTCTACTCATGCCAAGGGGCATTAGCACAGCAATTGAGGCCTGATTGGAAATGAACACTTAGAATTTCACAGAAACCCCATTATTTTAATGCAGACATATTCTCAGCAGGGTTTCTCACCTTTCCAGAGTCATACAACTTCTGAAAGGTTACACATGGGACTCATATTTGGACCATCATCAGACAATAGTTCAGACTCAACATCAAGCAGAAGGGCTACTGTTTAAAGAGATGATCTAAATTGTCTCTTTCATTGCTAATAGGTATGTGCAACTTTGTCCTGTTCAAAGTTACATCCTTACTGCAAAGTTAAGCTTGGTTCTTGTAGGGTTTTACTCCCCAGGATTTCATCATTCACAGAGAAGCTTCAGAAATTTTCTGGGTTTTGCTCCAGGACATTCGTGGCTCCATGTACTCAGTCAGCAGGGGATGGAGTGTCTTGCTTGTCCAGATACACGGTCTGCTGCTACAGGCCTGGAAAAATCTGCTTGTGCTTCCAACCAGAAGTCTCCAGAGGATTCAGGAGCCTCCAACAAAACTTTTCTGAAACAGTGTTGAAATAAAAAATGTTCACATGTCCAGAACACTGATTAAACCTAAATTAAACCTGAAGTGGTTACAGTAGCCTTTCTGTGTGTATGAACCTGCTGAACCAGCAGCTGTGCAACATCTGAAGCAGCAGCCACTCAGGGACAAGGTAAAAGCTAACAAGAAAACCCAGGTCTGCTTGGGGTATGTTTCAGAGATCTTGTCTGCTGGTAACTCCTAAGTGGCAAGAACTTCACTGCACTCTACTGCTAGTGTAAGCTCTGCCAGCAGCATGAAACAGGAACAGATCCGTTGTGAGCTGCCACCGTTGATCATGTTGATGTTAACTCAGTCTTCAGGAAGGTCTCAGCCCATACAGGACTCTTGTTAGAGAGATCTGTTAAGAGTCATATCTGCGAGTGATCTGTTGGGGCTCATGAAGTCCTTGGAGAGTGTGACACCAAAGCACTGAGTGAGCACTAGGAGGTTCAGTACAGGAAGTCCTGGAGCACCTACAGCACACCTAAAGGGTGACTGCTTGGAGTGGAGCAGCAGAAAACACTGTTTAAACCCTGCTAATCCTCACAACCACAGTTTAGAGACCTCTCTAGCAGCTCCAGTCCCTGGACCACCACTGCTACCCTCTCCTTTAGATTCCCATGTCTCATGGGTGATTTGGGGTCTGTGTGGCATTTACAACATGCTACATTCAACGTTGCACAATTTAAGGCACATTTCCAGGGGATCTTAAGTTTACATTCAGTTGCTTATTGGGAATCATAGAAAAAAATAAGTTGGAAAGGAGTTCTGCAGGAATCTCATGCGATCTTCTGCTTAACGAAACAGAAAGTTTCTCAAGGCCTCATTTAACTGGCTTTTGAAAGCCTCCAAGAATAGAAACTGCAGACAGTTTCTGGGCAACTTGCTCTAGTGCCTGACAATCCTCACTATTGAGAGTTTTCTTCTTTTGCCTAGCCTGGCTTCATCCCATCTAGTCCCATGGATTTGTACATTTCCAGTTTACTTAAGTGATCCCAGCATCACCCTCTTCAGCTCTGGGTAGCACCTCCCTTTTCCAAACTGCCATTAGACATGGATGCCTGAGAGCAAACTCTGCCTGTAAAGGCTGAGGCAAATTAAATGCTGAGAACCTCAGACTTCTGTGTGTCCTTCATCTGGGAAAGCACAGCAGTGTGAGTGATGTCCCAAAGGGAGCCTTTGAGCACGTGCTCCTTTTGTTGCCTATTGACAGGTTTGACTGCAGATTTATTTAAAATGGAAGATTAGTTCCTCTAAGATTATATATGTTAGTATTGAACAGTCGCTTGTTTATTTAAAACTTAAGGCTATTTCATATAAGACTATATAAGTTAGTGTTCCATGTTTTCATTGAAAAAGTTCCAGAATTGGTAACGCTTTGTGTTGTTGTTGTTACTTATATTTGAAGCTGTCTTTTTCTGGTCCTTTCTTTTCTTGAATACTTAAGCTCCCATTTACTGGCATTCCCCCTCACCCCAGCCCCCTTTTTGCCTCCAGAAGGCTTTGAACAGAAAGGGCACTGGAAGTTCAGCTCTGCATATGCTGAACTGGCAGAAACGAGTCCCGCGTGACACTCTTGGCACAGGTGAAGCAAGGACAAAGCTTTGGAGCCGTCTGGGTCCCAAGGGGTGCACTCCCGGCATAGGGCCCCGGTTGTGAGAGGCCCGATCCCCAGCGGAGCACTCCCGAGTGGGGTCCAGGGGGCTCTCCCGAGCCAGGGAAAGCCCGGGCGAGCAGAGACGCGGGCCCGGGCACACCCTGAGCGAGTCGCTGCCGGCACACAGGGGGGACCATTGACACCCTCATCTGATGGAAGCTTGCTGTGCTTTATTGGCAGAGCTAGGCCCGTGTCAGGGATCCAGCCCGGTGGCGGGAGTGGCTCCTGCGGGAGCACCCGCGGGCCTCCCTTTGTGATGCATCGGGGGCAGCCACTGTGACCTCGCTGGTGGCGGTGACGGTGGCTCAGAGAGCTCCGCTGTCACAAAGGGGTCCCGCCCGGATCCTCTATAGAAGCAGCCGGCGATACCCAGGGGAGACAGAAGAAAGAAGAGAGAAGAGAGAAGACAGAAGAAAGAAGAGAGAAGAGAGAAGAGAGAAGACAGAAGAAAGAAGAAAGAAGAGAGAAGAGAGAAGAAAGAAGAGAGAAGAAAGAAGAAAGAAGAAAGAAGAAAGAAGAGAGAAGAAAGAAGAGAGAAGAAGAAAGAAGAAAGAAGAAAGAAGAAAGAAGAAAGAAGAAAGAAGAAAGAAGAAAGAAGAAAGAAGAAAGAAGAAAGAAGAAAGAAGAAAGAAGAAAGAAGAAAGAAGAAAGAAGAAGGAAGAAGGAAGAAAGAAGAAGGAAGAGAGAAGAAAGAAGAAAGAAGAAAGAAGAAAGAAGAAGGAAGAAAGAAGAAAGAAGAAAGAAGAAAGAAGAAAGAAGAAAGAAGAAAGAAGAAAGAAGAAAGAAGAAAGAAGAAAGAAGAAGGAAGAGAGAAGAGAGAAGAAAGAAGAAAGAAGAAAGAAGAAAGAAGAAAGAAGAAAGAAGAAAGAAGAGGAAAGAGGAAAGAAGATATTTTTATATAAGCCAGACTATATAGAAAGAGGAAAGGCCTTCGCTCTCTTTCCTTCCGGCAGTTTGGAGGTGCAGGTTCCCTGCTGTTGAGTCTGTCGTGTTGGGGAGCGAGGCCTGGTAAGGCCTTGCCGACCTTGGGAGACGGAGGTTGCCGGCGATCGTTCCAGAGCGACTCTCGGTTGTCCCAAGGAGAGTAGTAAGATAGTTTTTAGTCAATTCTTTTAGTTGCTAGATATTGGGCTACTAATCAGGATATATATATCTATTTTATTTTGGTTTTGTTCCTTTTCCCTCCCCCCTTCCCTTTTCCTTGTGAAATTGTATATATATTTCAATTGTATATAACTGTAATATAAGTGTAAATATATTTATATATATTGCTTTAGCTGTCTCTCTCTCGTTTGGGGTTTTCTTGGTTGTTTTTTCTCCCTCTTCTCCCTGAGGTTTGGCAGGGGGGGGGACTTCTTGTGGTAAGGTTTGGAGACTTGGCAGGGAGCCAGCTTCAAACCATATCAGTGAGAAACAGAGAAAAAGAGAAAGAAGAGAAACAGAGAAAGTGAGAAACAGAGAAATAGAAAGAGAGAAAGCAAGAAGAGAAAGAAAGAAGAAAAAGAAAGAGAAAGAAAAAGAGAAAGAGAGAAAGGAAGAAGAAAAGAGAGAAAAAGAAAAAGAAAAAGAAAAAGAAAAAGAAAAAGAAAAAGAAAAAGAAAAAGAAAAAGAAAAAGAAAAAGAAAAAGAAAAAGAAAAAGAAAAAGAAAAAGAGAAAAGAGACAGAGAGAGAGAAGAAGAGAGAGAAAAAGAAAGGAAGGAAGGAAGGAAAAGAAAAGGAAGGAAGGAAGGAAAAGAAGGGAGGAAGGAAGGAAGGTGTTTATATCATAAAGAAAAGAATTAAAGAATTCAGTATACATGCTGCAAAGTCCCTACAGGGGAAAAAGATACTAAAAAGACTAAAAGTGTGGACTTAATTAGCATAGAAAGCAAGAAATTAATAACCAGTAAGAGGTAGGATACTAACTAATGAAAGAGAATTATGTAATTAAGGACCAATGAACATTAATTTCTTTTGTCTGTCAAAAATGTATAAATAGGTGAAAAAGCGGTGTCCGTATGGAGGCAGGATTTTGGTCAGCCACATACACACCCCAGTGCTCTGAATAAAAGTAATGCCTTGCTTCCTAACACTAAAAACACGTAGTTAGAGAGTTTTATTTATCCCAACAATTTCAGAGGATTTGGCAACAAGGATGTCAAAGACTCCTGTGAGGTCTCCCCTCAGTCTCCTCTTCCCCAGGCTGAACAGACCAAGTGCCCTCAGCTGCTCCTCACACGGCTTCTCCTGCAGACCCTTCCCCATCCTCGTGTCCCTCCTTTGGATGCTGTGTAATACTTCAGTGCCTGCGGGGCTCTCTGCCCTCCAGGGAGTCGACAGCTCCTCCCAGTTTAGGGTCATCTGCAAACTTACTTAGTATTCCTTTGGGATCTTTTTACTAGTCAAGTTTAAGGATTTTTTCTTGACTTAGGACAATTCAGCACAGCTGTCTGAGAGCAAGAATCACAATCCACCCTCAATGGGAACAAAGAAAACAATTCTCGTGACAGGTTTTGTAAGTCTTGCCAGGGGTTCCATATCAGGAACTGGCTTCTGTGCTTCAATATTCTGCAGTATTCACAAGTTCACCTGGCACAGTCACTAATGGAGCTCCCAAGAGGTCAATACTGGGGACAAAACACCATTTAATGTCCTTGTGAATGATACTGGAAAATATTCCTGCCTATTCCTGAATATTATACAGTTACTTAGTGGTGGAGATTTTATTTTAAATTCTCTTTTGATCATTCTTCATATCAACATAAGCTATCCTGTAAACTGAGGCAGGAGGAAAGAAGTTGAAATCAGAAAATTGTATAGTCTTAACCTGTGCCAGGGGAGGTTTAGGTTAGATATTAGGAAGAAATTCTTTACAGAAAGGGTAATCAGACATTGGAATGGGCTGCCCAGGAAAGTGGTGGACTCTCCATCCCTGGAGGTTTTTAAGATGAGACTGGATGCGGCACTTAGTGCCATAGTCTAGTAATCACGGCGGTAGTGGATCAAGGGTTGGACTTGAGGATCTCGGAGGTCCCTTCCAACCCAGCTGATTCTATGATTCTATGATTAGATCAGCCCTATTCAACAGTGGACCCAGAAGCCCTTCCTGTTGCTCTTCCCATCATCACCAGCTATCAGCTCAAGCCCAGCTTTAGCTTTCTTAATCCCATTCTTGCCTGCCTGTGTAGTTCTGCACTGCTCCTTGATTGCCTGTCCCTGCTTCCTCTTATTACACATTTTCTTTTTATGTGTGAGTTCGGTCAGTAATTCTCTGTACACCCAAGCTGGTCTTATGCACTGGCTGCTTAACCTCCTGCATGACAGTATGGATCATCCTTGGGCTTTGGGGAGATGGTCCTTGAAGGTCACGTAACTCTACATGTCCTTTTACTCTTCACAGCAATATCC